TGCTTGTTTTTAATGGCGATTATCTTCTGTAGCAGAAATAGCCAAGTGCGCCCATGGGGCAAGATTAAGTTAGAGACGAAGTACCTTTCTGGACATTGCTCAGACAGATGTTCTTTTTTCTCTTATTGCGTCTTGCGCGCCGACCACTCCTCCCCCGTCGACCGGGTCTCCTTCTGGTGGCTGCCATAATTGGATTCTGTTTGCGGATTTAAAGAACAGAATGTTTCAACCTCAGAGTTCACACCCGCCGTTGAAACACAGAGGTGACGGTTTCCGTGGGCCTTGAGCAGTAAAGGTCCACCCAGGCCCACACACTATCTCCCGGGGACAACGCAGGGGACCTCGGCCCGCGGCCATGGTGCTTGAGGGTACAGCCTCCTCCGCGGCTCCCCTCCTGTCCTTCCAGCTTCTGGCTCCTCACCCACGCCTCTGCCCCCGGTCCTGCTCCTTGTCCCAGACCTTCCGGGGCCTGCTCCCTCCCAGGCCCCAAACCCCTCAGGGAGGCCTGCCTAGCCGTGCTATTACCCCAGGAAAAAGTGTTTGACAACCGGAGGGGCCTGCTCTGGACACACGCCCTCCTCCACCGGAAGCTACTAAACCCTGTGACCATCCGCGGACAACAGCTCGGACCCCAGTCGCCCACACGACGCCCGCTCCTCACCTGAGGCGCCGCTCTGTCTCAAGACTCCTAGGTTTTCCTCAGCCGCGCGCTCGGCAGAAGGGCGGAGCTAGGCAGCCGTGAGACGGGCGCAGTGCTGATTGGGCAGTTCTTCACGCATGCGTGCCGCGGCCTTGGGGCGTTCCACTCCTGGGCAGGTACTGTTTTCGAGGCAGCATGGATATTCTTGATCTTTCCGTTTCTTTTTTTTTAAGTTGAAAATCACCACCTAATTTATGAGACAACCACCTCGATGATGAAGGAGCCCTGACACCGTGGTGGCTACGTGTTGATCTACTAACAGCTAACTCGCTGTTCCAATCCACCAACCGCTCCGCGGGAGAAGGAGGAGGCATTCTGCTCCTACCAAGTGGCACAGCCTGGGACACACTGTGCAGGGTCGCTGAGTGGGAACCGAACAGCTACTCAACAGGAGAAAGATGAGGTTATCTGCTGCGATAAAGATTTACAGTCTCAGACACCCAAGGGGCAATTCTGCCCTATCCTATGGGGTCCCTATGAGTTGGGGTCCACTTGATGGTTCTTCAACGTGGTTATCTCACCCCGACTCACACCCCGAATCTAAGGGCAAAGGAGGGTTTAGTGTTCTTCATAAGCCATCTGCATATAAAACCGCCAGTGGTACAAATGGTTAAGCACGCAAATACTAAGTGAAAACGTTGGGAATCTCTGATCTAGCAGTGAGAAGGCACTCAAGAAATGAAACCAAGGACAATAGAGAAAATGAAGTTCAGTCTCACAGAGAGGTCACATAAGATGTGAACCAAGAAGTGACCATTGGATTCAGCCTTCAAAGTCATTGGTGACTTTAGAGAGCAGTTTGAGAGCCAGAGCCAGTGGTTTGAGGAGACTGTGGATGCTAGCATGCTGGAGAGGTGAAAGGTAAGGACTGATAGGGGCAGGGTTCTGGATAGGAAGACAACTGGAAGGTTAACTTTGAAATGCAGTTGGCCTGGCCGGGGAAACTGGGGGTTCCCTCTGAGTATTAACTGAGGTGCAAGCAACCCCAAGTTCTCAGCTCCCTTTTGCTAAGCCAGCTAAGTGGTTTACTGGGACAGTAGATTGACCCAATGTGCAATGTCCCACCAATGTCATTGAATAGAACAGAGTAGAACTGCTCCTAGAGATTTCCATGACTGTAAATGTTACGAGAGCAGACAGCCTCATCTTTCTCCCACAGAGCTCCTGATGGGTTTGAACCACTGATCTTGTGATTAGCAGCCCAATGGTAACCCATTATGCTACCAAGGTTCCTTGTGAACAGGGTTATAGTTGTTAACTGCCTCTGAGTCAAGTCTGACTCAAAGCAATCCAAGGCACAACAGAATGAAACACTGCCTGGTCACCATAACTGTTGCTGCACTTAAGCCCCAATGCTATTGCCACTGTGGTTGGAATGGGCAAAAGGGGGCAAAATGATGTTAAGATGCTTGGCTGTCTTTTGAATCTTGGTTTCCCTGGGATACCATTCTAAAATAGACACCTGAGAGGGAGAAAAAGAAATAGCCAGAAATATCACTATAGAAAGCCTGTAAGTCCATCTTCTGCCTATAACTGATTGGAATACCTAAAATGGGGCTACAATGTGCCCAGTGAAGGAGGCTTCCTGTGGAGCCTCTGAATTACATGACTATAGGTGGAATCCTGAATAGCATCCAGAATCTTCAGAGGTGGGAAATTTCCACTTGAAAGGACAAGCAGAAAAGCCTGGAGCGGCTAAAAGAACAGAAGATACTTCTTGAAAGAAAGACCTACAGGAAAAATACAAAACAACATAGGCAGACCAACTGATTACTACAAGAACAAGCAAGTTGCTCGCCCAGGAGACATCAAGGCAAGTGGTCGGGTCCCCTCAGAGCAAACCCCCTTCCAAGACTAAGACTCAATGGGAATACACGCTCTGATTGGTGACCATGTTTGTCAACAATAAGGGGAAATGAGGGAAAAACAGCAATGAAGCTGTGAGCTAAGTCCTACAACGTTCAATTGATTCCTGTGAACCCGGGTGGAGACCTGGTTGGCCAGCAGTGTGGCAAGACATGGGGACTCTTGGGCCCAGAGTCAGTGACATAGCCACAGAGGATTAGAGTGGAGAGTGAAGCATCCATCCAGCTGATAAGAAGAGGGCATATGCACAAGAACACCCACACTTGCAGATAATACCCACTTGACCTGGCTTCAATGTCTACATGATCAACTAGAAGAAAGAAGAGGAAAAAAAACCAGTAATCTGATAAAATTTGATGAACTTGACCTACACCTATGGATGCACTAGATCAAAAAAGGGAACAAATCTTTACAGCAAGATCATTCACACCCCCTCCATACACAGAGTAGACAGGGATGGGCTCAGAGGAAGACCATTACCACTGAGTAATATCTAATCTGTCTGGGTGGGACTGATGAAAGGAGATGTGGATAGCACTCATGTAGGACAATAGTGAATAATTACTATCAGGACTGACTCTGAGGTTTGGAAATGTAAAGGTGGACATTCTGTAGCAAAAGGAGGGGTGATTGACTTCGCAGTCCAGGAGCCGAAGTCCCTGGGATCATCAAGAGAGAAGAGCAGAGTGCATGCAGGACCCTACCCAGAGAAGCAGTGATGTCAGAGATGGAGGCAGAGACAATGACATGGAGAGATGGAGTGGCTGGGGACTCTACATCCAGAGAGGGAGAGAGGCTGTGTGCTGATGACCGGGGGGCAGGCTTGTAGGGTATACCCCTTGGTTGGTTGACGATGCATGGAGGGGATTGTAACCATGGCAATGAAACGATATACGATAGGATGAATATAAAGCTAATGCTCTCCCATATAAACTATTACATAATTCACAATAAAACATTAATTGTGCTGGGAAAGGTACCACAGGAGTCAGAAATCCTAAAAGGAATGGATAGTGAAGGTACACTTGACTTAACTTCATAGGAACCATCTTGTGGCTCACGCTGATTCTCTCTTCCTCGAGAAATTAGACATGGTCTGATGTTCCACCTGGATGTTCTTAGGAGCTTTGTAACTCATAGGTAACCAACCTAAGACAAACCTACACATTACCCTTATACTGACTCTCTTTATGCTTCTGCTTGTATCCCTTTTGCCTAATGTTTGATAACAGAACTGGGCCTTACTAATGTTCTCCCAGTTCTCAGCACATGTTGGACACTGGTAAAAGGAGGCCTTCTCTTTCTTGTTCCTGGTGATCATTTCTTAGATTCTTAGATTTCAGGCTTCCCTTGTGTACCTAATATCCTCCATGGGGGTACTCCAGTGATGGGCTCATGTGCTGGTGCACTATCATGAAATCACAACCTGTGTCCAGCTCTCAATTTGAGCAGTGTTGGTATAGCATTCAAAGAAATACACTTGAGCCTGTGGCCTAATCTAGATGAACCATTCCTCACCAATTCCTCAGGAAATGGGTGACAATCAGGTGAGCTGCCCAGCAAATCGCCTGAACACAGTAACGTACAAAGGTGTTCTAAATCTTCCACCCATCTCAATGGACCTTACCACTCTCTAACCAGCCAGAGCCTCTTTGAAAAACGGATTGATATGACACAGCATTCTCACTCCAAAGCATACAGACAGGAAGTTGGAAACGTTATAGTCACATAAAAACTTGTGTAGGAGTGTTTACAACTGTTTTATTCCTACAACAGTACACAAAAACACTGATCAATTGGTAAATACACAAAAAAAGTTGAGTGTGGAATTGAATATTTCACAGTAACAACAAAAAAGCAGCTATGGTTACATTCATCAATATGCAGGAACTTCAAACCCATGATGCTGAACAAAGGATTCGAATCTAAAAGCTACCAACTGAATGACTAGTAAACTGTTGTCAGAAATCACACTGAGGGGAAGTTTGTGTGAGAAAGGGCAGCATTATGATTATTTGGGAGGAAACATTATTCTGTCCTTACCTTGGGGCAACGCTTTTATGAACCGTTATGTCTGGAAATTACATTATAGGGCTTTTCAAAATAAGAACATTAAAAACTTTTTTAGAACGATTCAGATTAAGAGAAACGGGTTAGAAAAGCTGAATATTAGAAGTAAATCACTAAAGAAATGACACATGTATTTTCTTTCTGTTGAATCCTCTCACCTATCTTCAAATGGCTACGGGAAAAACGATGAATTTCCCTCGTACATTCACGAGAACCCATTTCACTGTTGCTCCACTGGAGCTCTGGTAGTGTAGTGGTTACGAATCGGGCTGTGAACCTTAAGGTCAGCGGTTCGAAACTACCAGCCGCTCTGCGGGAGAAAGATAAGGCTTTCTACTCCTGTAAAGATTTACACCTTCGGAAACCCTGTACAGGGTCGCTATGGGTCGGAACCGACTCGACGGCACTTAACAACAACAACAACATTCCACTGTGAGTTCTTATATATCTAGCTAGACTTGAAGGTTGATAGATTATTTGCAACATTGCTGACATTCATACGGATCTCTCCACTATGAGATGTTATATTCCATTTGAGTTCTGAAGATAAGCCAAAGGCTTCCCAATATTCCTTCCATTGATAAGGCCTCCCTCCACTATGAGACTCTGTTTGTGTTGAGAACTCACTAGAGGGTTGGCACATGGGTAACTTTATAAGACTTCTACTGTGTGTTCTTTTATGAGGAGTAAGATCTAAGGACTGGATAAAAGCTTTACTACACTCCTTGCATTCATAAGACTTCTCTCCATTACATGACATTTGTGCCTTGAGGTGTGAGGAGTTAGGAAAGACTTTCCCATATTCGTCACATCCATGTTTCTCTCAATGAAGTGTTCCTTTTCATTGTAGTGAGGGCTGTAGCCAGACAAAAAAACTAGATCACATTTCTTACATTCTGAACACCTGTCTCTGCTATGAAATCTGGTATGAAGGTGCATCAAAAATACTTCATGCTCTGGCTATATAAAAACTTCTGCTGGATGCATTGTCTTATCAACGCTTTCCTCTCAAGGTCAGTACTGTGCCGTTGTGAACGTGGACATCTGAAAACAAAATCCAGACCGATACTTGAAGGTAAAAGATTCTTTTAAAATATCTTTACTGGTGATGAGACAGAGTCATCACAATGAACCTGAGAGTAAACGCTAGAGTGTGGAAGAGAAACATTCTCAATCGTCCACCAAGAATACGTTCAAAAGTCAACCATCAACTGGAAAATTGTTACTTAGTTTTCCGGAACACTCAGGGCCACTATTGGAACACTATCAAAGAGAAGGTTAAACAATCAACAGTGTTCGTTACAATGAGATGCTCACTGAAGAGCTGAAGTCTAAAACACAGATTTACACAGAGGACTGCTATTCAAGGACATTGTGATAGTGCATGACAATTCATGTTTCCAAACTTTCACCTTCACTGTTGACACTGTGTGAAATTTTCATTTTGAGATGTTAAAGCATCATAGTCCCAATCTTGCACCATCAGACGTTCACCTGCTTGGTCCTCTGAAAACAGTGTTTGGAGGATGAGTAGTCTCACCTCTGATGAAGTCAAAAGACAAGTAAATTTGTGGCTTTCAGTTCAGCCGAAAATATTTTTTAAATAGGGAATATGAAAGCTTCTTTACAAATGGACAGAATATTGGAAATCAAGGAAATTATCTTTAAAAATGAGGTATTTGTCTTTTCTAAATGTTGATTAAAATAGATTCTACAGCCAAAGTGTGGATGATTTCTGAACCCCACTGGCCAATTATGGCTTTCCCACATTAATTATATTTATAAGGCTTCTCTCCACTGTGCGTATTTTTATGTACAATCAGGTCTGAGGACTGAATGAAGGTTTTCCCACACTCCTTACACTCATAAGGTCTGTTTCCATTGTGATATCTTTGATGTACTTTGAGGCTTCCAGAATGAGTAAAGGTTTTCCCGCAGACCTTACACTCATAAGGTCTGTTTCCATTGTGATATCTTTGATGTACTTTGAGGTTTCCAGAATAAGTAAAGGTTTTCCCGCAGACCTTACATTCATAAGGCTTCTCTCCAAGGTGAGATCTCATATGTACACCGAGGTGTGAGGATTGAATAAAGGCTTTCCCACACAGTTTACAGTCATAAGGTCTCTCTCCGCTGTGAGATCGTTTATGGGAAGTAAGGGTTGAGGAGTGGCGATAAGCTTTTCCACACTCATCACATTCATAAGGCTTCTCTCCACTGTGTATTTTTTTATGGATGTTGAAGCCTGAGGAGGTTTTGTAGGCTTTCCCACATTCCTTACATTCATAAGGCCTGTCTGCTCTGTGAGATGTCATATGTGTACTGAGGCCTGAGGACTGAAAAAAGGCTTTCCCACATTCTTTACATTCGTAAGGCCTCTCTCCACTGTGAGATCGTTTATGGGCAGTGAGGCTTGAGGAGTAACGAAAGGCTTTTCCACACTCATTACAGTCATAAGGCTTCTCTCCACTGTGAGATCGTTTATGGGCAGTGAGGCTTGACGAGTAACGAAAGGCTTTTCCACACTCATCACATGCATAAGGCTTCTCTCCACTGTGAATTTTTTTATGGATGTTGAAGCCTGAGGAGGTTTTGTAGGCTTTTCCACATTCCTTACATTCATAAGGCCTGTCTGCTCTGTGAGATGTCATATGTGTACTGAGGCTTGAGGACTGAAAAAAGGCTTTCCCACATTCCTTACATTCAAAAGGCCTCTCTCCACTGTGAGATCGTTTATGGGTAGTGAGGCTTGAGGAGTAACGAAAGGCTTTTCCACAGTCCCTACACTGATAAGGCCTGTCTCCACTGTGTGTTCTTTTATGTTGAGTGAGTTGTGTCTGAAGATGAAAGGTTTTCCCACATTCCTCACATTCATATGGCTTTACTCCACTGTGACATCTTGTATGTTCTGTGAGCTTTGAGGAACAACTAAAGGCTTTCTCACACTCTTTACATTCATAAGGTTTCTCTCCAGTGTGAGATCGGATATGTTTAGTAAGGGTGTCAGACCGAGCAAAAGTTTTCCCACATTCCTTACATTCATAAGGCTTCTCTCCACTGTGAGTTCTTATATGCTGAGTGAGGTTATAGGATGTAATAAAGGCTTTCCCACATTCCTTACACTCATACGGCCTCTCTCCACTGTGAATTTTTGTATGAGAAGACAGGGCTGCAGCATGAGTGAAGGCTTTCCCACATTCCTTACATTCATAAGGTGTCTCTCCAATGTGAGATTTTTCATGTGCACTGAGGGTTGAGGAGTTACTAAAGGCTTTTCCACAGTCTTTGCACTTAAAAGATTTCTCTCCACTGTGTGTTAATTTATGTTGAGTGAGCTGTGTGTGTAGATAAAAGGGTTTCCCACATCCCTCACACCCATGTGGCTTTACTCCACTGTGAGATCTTCTATGTTCATTGAGCTTTGAGGAACAACTAAAGGCTTTCCCACATTCCTTACATTCAAGAGGCTTCTCTACACTATGAATTCTTGTATGTTTAGTGAGGGCTGTGGCATGACAAAAGGCTTTCTCATGTTCCCTACATTCATAAGGCCTCTTTCCACTATAAGTACTTGTAAGGTGAGTTAATGATAAGTGTAGACTAATAGCTTTTTCACATTCTTTACATTCATAAGGCCTCACTTCACTGGAAATTGTTCTCATGTATTTAGTGAAGGATGAGCAATTATCCTTGGGTTTTCCACAATTCTCACATTTACAAACTTTCTCCCCACTAACAGTATTTGAATGATGTTTTATGTAAGACGGAGAACAGCAGCTTTCTCTATATTCTTTATACTGGTATGGTTCACATTTAGTGTGAGATCTGATTGGATGATTAAAGGTATAATTACTACCCTCATGAAAGTCAAAAGCATTTACTCCAACCTCAGTTCCTTTGAGGCTCCGATGATTTTCCTCAGAGCAGGCACTTTGATCACCTTCTTCATATTTCTTCACTTCATCTTCTTTGTTTACACAGCAGCTCTCTACCACATACTTTCTGTTGAAAACACGGAGTGTGCTGTTAAAATTACGTTTTCTACCATTTCAAAAGTACCATACACGATGAATGTTCATTTTCTGTCCAACGTTTTCTCATGGTGCACAGGTTAAATCATCACATGTAAGGTGCTAGCATTATTGTCACCACATTCCAAAATGAATAGTGATAATGTGTACAAGTGAGATGTCTCAAATACTGAGTACCTGATTCACATTTATTGGAAATTCCTGAATTGTGAATATTAGGTGTAGACACACATGTAGCGCTAGTTTTATATCTATCTACAAACACACACTAAAAGAGGCATACAAATGTGATGTCATCTTGAAGCTGTCCCATTGGGAACTATTTAATGTCATGGGTAAGATACCTGGTATGCCCATCCTGGTGGATGTGGGGATTTTCATGGCCTTGAAACTCACAGATTTCTCCTGACGTAAACAACCAACCATTATTCTTCATCAGCTTCATCAGTGTAAGTTCACTGTACACGTTTTGTCCATTATTACCCTGTTGAGAGACTGAACTAATCATTAGGAATGGATTTTCAAAATATAAAAATAAAACAAGAACGGAATTAATAACAAATAAGGCACCTAAGAGACAGAAATTGTGAAGAATTTGGGTACTCAAAGTGTTTGGAAAGAGTAAACCATAGGAAATACACTGAGAACATTTCCATGGTGATTCAGAAGGAAGGTGAGCAAACGAAGATGTAACCATCAGTACAAACTCCAAGAGTACTGGCACACAATGCTTGCATGAGAAAGAATATAGAAAGAGGAAATGGGGAAGGCTTCTTCCTGGTAAATGCAAAAGACAAAACATAAGTTAAATATAAAAAAACCTCAGCTCAACTACTGCGTAAGTTCAGCTAGTCAAAGTACAGAAGAGAGCCATTTTACACAGGTGTGAGCAGATCGAGAGACAAGAAACTATCCGTGTTGTTACAGCATGACTGACAGCCCCATTGAAACTAGGTATCTGCCAAGTCCTTTCAGCCCCATTTCACCCTGCCCTCCCCGCCTTACCCTATGGAAAAATAATAAACTTCTTAAAGAAAAACGAAGGTCAGAATGACCCAAGGACACCTCAACAAACAGGATACAACTTAGTCCATCCATACAACCAAGGTAAGGGTTTATTGGTGGGTTTACTCCCACTTACAGGATAAGGGTCTGCTGGAATTTTCCACCCCAGCTGACAAGACAAGTCTTTGTTTTAACCACTCTGTGTTTCTTGTATAAAACCCTGTTCCCTTGCTTACTTACGGGTCAGAATGATTTGGGCTTTAGCTGACACTCTGGCCGCCCGCAATAAACTCGGCTCTTTAAGATTTTCAAGTTGAGTTCTTTCTGACTTGCACTGCTACAACATTTGAGGCCCCAGAGTGATGTCAGTCTAGCCTTTCTTACCTGAACTTCACCAGCCTCCCTCCAGGTGGGCTGGTCCAAAGGCCCAGGGAAGGAGAGGCCACCTGACATGTTCCTGGGCTCCTCGCTTGGCTCTCAGGGTGACCCACATGGAGTGAACGCAAGTGTGATCAACTCGGAAGAGCACAGTCCTGTCCTGGTCTTTCTGGTGACTCTATTCTGTTGATCTAAATTCCCATTGTTTGGAAGTGAACGGGAATTTGCCTGGGACTTTGGTCCCCCTGACTGTGGCCGACACAAGTCTACCTGCCTGTGTCTGTCCTGTCACCACATCTATTGAACAGTTATCTGTCTCTCACTGTCTGTGTGAATGGATGCCTGATGGGTTGAATGTGTGAAGCTGGTTCCTGCTGGCAGGGAGCTGGTCAGTGCGGCTCCACAGCAAACACCACGGAGTCTGAATGGACCTAAATTCCCGAGAGGGACGCAGCCAGGTGGGCAACTGAATGAGAAACACCCCCTCCCCCCTCCACTGTGCCCTACGTCTTAGATTCTTTGTTTTTAATGGACTTCTTATTCTGTCTCACAATTAAGTTCCTCGTCTGTCTTCCTAGCATTTAGGCCTCTAGACAGTGTCCCCCGAAGAGTGGACCTAGCTCTCCAAACTTCTCTTAGTTGTTTTTTTCTTTCTTGTCATTCTTTGCCTTTCCGGGGCTCAGTGTCTCCCTTGATCCTGCCTGTCTTCAATGTCCCGTCTCTGCCTAGACCGATTTGAACTCTTTTTATCTTCGATCTTCCATGAACTCCAAGCCTCGCCTCCCGTTGCCTTCCAAAGCCGCAGGCATTTTTGACTTTATACAACCTCCTCCTGCAGGGGACATCCTGTCACCATTCTCTGCATGAGGTCACTTTTTATTTACTCTTTTTCTCCCCTTACGGTTTTCCTCCCGTTCCCTTATCCCTCGCCATGGACCATGGACCTTGACTGCATGTTAACAAACTCTTCCAAGGGTTCTCGGGAGATCATGATGACCCCATGACCCCGGTAGGCTCCAAACTGTCAAATTGAGTGGCCCTCCTTTCAAGTTGGCAGGCCAGACTCTGGGACCCTGGACCTCTGCCATGTCATTGCTGTGAATAAAGTTATAACTGGAAACCGGGCCACCTGGTACAGTTTCCCTACATACATTCTTGGCTCCAAATCGCTAAGACTCTCCCTCCCTGAGTCCGCCGATGTGCCCTCAGGAACAGAGAGTCTCATAAGCTTCTGTCACTCTCGTCACATGGTGCCAATCAGTGCCACCCGTCATGACTCCTCAATCTCCCCTCCAGCCCTGCAGTCCTCCAAGACCCAGGGGATTCTGCTATTGATGCCCCCTACCCCCTCCTTACAACTTCCCACCCAACCCTCCTGCTCCCCTTCCAACCACTGTTCCTCATGCTCAGATCTCAGATCCTGTTTCCCTTTCCCCCGACTTCCCGTCACTGCCCCTCACTCACTGTCTGCGCGCACATCCGGCCTGGGAAATACACACACACCCTGCCACTCCGAGAAACCGCCCCTTCTTTGGTTTACATTCCCCTTCTCTTCCGGCGACTTCTATAACTGGAAGGGTCAGAAGCCCAGCTTTACTGAGAAGCCCCAGACCCTAACCAGCCCTGTGCCATCAGTCGACCAACCTGGGAGGACTGCCAACAACTCCTTATGACCCTCTTTACTTCCGAGCAGCAGGAATGCATCCTCACAGCCGCTGAAAAGGATCTTCTTAGTTGCCTTGTGGGTACTCCCCAGGAATGACAAAACCAGCTCTGGAAGACTCGCCCCCGTGAACGCCCTGACTGGGATGCCAATACCGACCTGGGGTCCTGTTCCTTAAATTCATATCACTCAGCCCTCATGGCAGGCCTGCGGAGGGCAGCTCAAAAAACTGTCAACTTAAACCACCAAGGTAACCCAAGGGCCCAAGGACGCCCCAGGCACTTTCCTTGAAAGGCTGTGTGAGGCTTTCAGATTCTAGACCCCATTGGACCTAACAGCTGAGCTGCAGAAAATGCCCATGCTCTTAATTTAGCATTTGTAGATCACTCGGCACTCAATATTCGCCGAAAACTGCAGAAAATGGATGGCTTTCCCGGCATGAACACCAGTCAACGTCTAGAGGTCACCCAGAAAGTTTTCGCCAACCGGGAGGAGGACTCAAAAGAATGCTCCAAAAAAAGAACGTGAAAGTGACCAAAAGAAACAAGCCAGAATTCGAGGAGCAGCCCGCCCTCCAGGAAACTTTCAGCGCCCACCCAGGTGAACACCCTTCTGGCCTGGTAAGCAAACCCCTTCACGCTCTACCACCTGGTTCTACCCGCCGTGTTGCTTTAGACAATGCCCAATGTACCTACTGTGAGGCAAAGGAACACTGGATAAACGAGTGCCCCAAGGAGAGGAAAACCAGAAGGTCCTCTGTGCAGAGGCCGAGGACTCAGACTGAGGGGCCAGGGCTCCTCCTTGCTCGGCTCCCAGGAGTCCATGGTCACCCCAACTGTAGGGGGCCACCCAGTAACCTTTCTTGTTGATACTGGAGCAGAGGTATCAGTCCTCACTGACATGCTAAGCCCACCCAAAAACAAAATCATTACTATTCACAGGGCCACGGGGAAAACCAGCTTACACCCCCTTCTAGCTGAAAGAAAAGTCCCACTAGGCAGGTCCACGGTGTCTCACTCTTTCCTTTGGGTCCTGAGCAGCCAATACCAATTACTAGGATGGAATTTCCTCAGGAAACTTCAAGTCACTATAATCTTCCAATCCCGGAGAGCCCCCATGCTCCACCTAAGCCCTGATCCTCCCCTCATTCTATCCCTAACCATGCCCCTTTTGGAGGAATACTTTTTGCTGCCAAATATATCAACTCCAACTCCCCTAGGGAAACGTTTGTCCCAAGCTCCAAGACGTAGTGATCGAATTTTCCCCAAGTATGGGCTGAAAACAACCCACCTGGCCTGGCACACCATCTCCCGTCCGTGGTAGTCTCCCTCCTCAGTACTGCCTCCCCCATACATATCTGCTAATATCCCCTAATTCTCTAGGCTCCATTAGGGATCCAACCACGCCTCGACTGCCTATTATAGGCAGGAATACTAACCAAATGCCAGTCTCCCTGGAACACCTCCCTTTCTCCCTGTCAGGAAACCAGGAACTAATGATTACCGCCCCGTCCAGGACCTAAGGGCAGTCAATGAACAAGGTGAAACATCCCACCGTACCGAACCCTTACTCTCTCCTCAGCCGGCTACCTCCTTCACCTTAAGGATGCCTTCTTTACCAGTCCCCTAGAAAAGGCTAGCCAACCAATGTTTGCATTTGAATGGAAGATCTGTCCACTAACCAGAAAACTCAGATTACCTGGGCTCGCTTGCCAGAACTCGACTAGACAAAGATAAAAAGCAAAAGACAAAGGAACAATTTTTGATAAAGGAAACAAGGGTAAATTGCTACAATTTGATGAACTTGACCTACACTCGAAGAGGTAGTAGCTCTAAATACCAACAGAAAGGGAAAGAGTCTTCACATCAAATATCAATGCTATCCCCTCTGTACACAGGGTAGATAGGGACAGGTAACTTAGACATTGGCTACCTAAAATGAGGGGCTATAAAGGCATGAAGTGACTGGCTTTCAAGGTTTCAAGAGGGAGTATAATTAAAGAGAGTATGGAGGATGAAAGAGTCCCCACTGAATAGTTGTCATCTTGTCTAGATAGATAGGTCTGGTTAAAAGAGATGGGGATGAGGAACAAACAAGACAGAGGATCGGGTGTATGTGCAGTGAGGAGCTCCATCAGCAACAACACAGAATACAGGACCAAGAGGTACAGACAACAACTAGAGAATGACATACATGGCAGCATCACCCTGAACTCAAATGACAAATGGAAGAGTCAAGAACAGAGGATCTGGGAGGTTAGTCTATGATCAAAACAATTACAATGTGAAAGAAGGTAAACATAGAGGAAAAGAGATCCAGGTGGTGGGAAGGTCAGGTAGATTACAGGATAAGATGTTGTTGTTGTTGTCAGGTGCCATCGAGTCGGAACCGACTCCTAGCGACCCCATGCACAGCAGAATGAAACAATGTCCGATCCTAGGCCAACCTCATTACCGCTGCCACACTCGATGCCATCAATGATGC